TCTTCCTGCATTATTGAGTTCTCGCTCCATCCTTTACCCCCAACCCTTGACAGAACGAACTGGCCAACATGAGGACTCAGCAGAAGAAGCCGGATTGTCCCCCCGCCAGCAAATGATCCAGCAAGTAAATGCTTGCTACTTCCGTCAGCAGGGGGCTGACGTGAGGGACTTTGCCTGTGACTTCCTCATTGAGGTGGACAATCTGGACTATAGTGAGGCTGATATTAAGGAGGTCTTCAACATCTGCCTCGATCAGCCTCTCAACCTGTGGGAGATGGAGAAGCTGGGGAGTCTTGGCTACTGGGACTTCGTCTATCATATCTACCATCGTGGGGAGCCTGAACCCCCTCCCCAAGCGAAGTCCCACCTGGTGGAAAATGAGGGGGCTGGACCACCTGACGTTTGGGGGATTTGTGGTGTTCTTGGCACGTCCACCAGCTAAGGAGGCTGCAGTGGCTCCTGTGGTGGCCGACAAAGCTGCAGCACCCCCAGTGGCGGCTGACGACGCTGCAGCGCCACTAGTGGCGGCCGACATAAACGGAGGAGGAAGAATGGGTCCGCATCGCCACCCCTAGAGGCGGCCGAAGAGGCTGCAGCTCCCCTAGTGTCGGCCAATGAGGCTGCAGCGCCCGCAGTGGCGGCTGAAGGGGTTGCAGCACCCCCAGAGGTGGCCGACAAAGCTGCAGCGCCCCCAGAGGTGGCCGACGACGTTGCAGTGCCCCACTCTCAGAAACGGAGGAGGAGAAGGATGAAGGCTTCCTCCATCCCACATGGCCCGGAGGCCATCCAGGAGCCCACTGCTGGCCCAGAGGCTGTCCCAGAGCCGGCCAAGCTCCCTGCCCTGCTGGCGCCTCCCAAGCTCCTTGCCCTGCCAGAGCCGCCCACGCTCCTTGCCCTGCCAGCTCCATCCTTGATGTTGGCTCCATCCTTGATGCAGGCACCGCCCTTGCTGCCTGCCCAGTCGGCTCCGCCCTGGTCTTCATCCAGGACTCCAAGACTGCTGGAGCCTCCCTGGTCCGTCCCTCCAGCTCCACCCTGGCCCTCAGCCAGGACTCCCAAACTGCTGGAGCCTCACTGGTCCGTCCCTCCAGCTCCACCCTGGCCCTCAGCCAGGACTCCCAAACTGCTGGAGCCTCACTGGTCCGTCCCTCCAGCTCCACCCTGGCCCTCAGCCAGGACTCCCGAACTGCCAGCGCCTCGCTGGTCCGTTCTTCCGGTCCCACTCTGGACGTCCGCCTGGGTTCCTGTTTGGCTGGTGCCTCGCTGGTTCATCCCTCCGGCTCCGCCCTCGCCTCCTACCAGGACTCCTGAACTGCCTGAGCCTCCCTGGCTCAACCCTCCCGCCCCTCCCTGGACCCTTGTTAAGACTTCCTGGGCTGTTCCTTTGGCACTGTCTTGGCTCCCCTCCCTCCCTCTCCTCTTTGTCTCTGGCTGCGTCCGAAACCGCCTACTTCTCTACTATATAGTAGGCGAAAAGCAGTAGGCGAGCGAATAAGTATGTCCGAGTCGTTAGTATTCATAAAAGAGTAGGCGAGAATTACCTGGGTGACGTACTAATTCTCGCGAGATTCGGACACGCGTCTACTTAAAGTGCGTCCGAAACCGCCTACATCTCTACTATATAGTAGGGGAAAAGCAGTAGCCGAGCGAATAAGTATGTCCGAGTCGTTAGTATTCATAAAAGAGTAGTCGAGAAGTTCCCGGATGTCCTACTGCTTCTGCCCAGCTTCTTGAGTGCTCGCCGATGGTTACTTTTCTATCCCAGGAGGCCACGCGAGAGGATACATCATAAAGAAGAAGAAGAGGATGCGCCATAATCGAACATGGCAGAACATTTGGATGAGGGCGTTTACAAATGTACGTATTACAAACCAAAAACACGGTTCCTTATTTTAAACTCGAATTTGTTGAACTACTTTAGAGCAAATTGTTGAAAGTGTAAAGATGATAAATGGTATAGTATAATTGTGATGTTGCTGTAAAAACACGTTTTATTATGTATAGCTAACAGGGGGGCTCCAGGAAGCACAC